TCGTGATGGAAACTGCTAGTGAGAACAATGAGCTGGTCCTTGCAGAACCACAACCTTACAATTCAGAAATACCAGCTAATAATTCAGAAACACAACCTAACAAGCGTAGGAAAAAGAAGTCCATTGTCTGGGAATACTTCACTATTGAAGCTGTCGGCGATGGGTGTAGAAGAGCATGCTGTAAACAATGCAAGCAATCGTTCGCATACAGTACAGGGTCAAAAGTAGCAGGCACCAGTCACCTCAAACGCCACATTGCAAAGGGAACGTGCCCAGTTGTTCTGCGTAATCATGAGAAGAATCAATTAAGCCCATACAGTGCACCTTCAAAGATGGGTGGAATTGGGGATACGCCAAAACGACGTTACAGAACTGCTAGCTTACCTTACTTTGCATTTGATCCAGATCGGTGCCGCCACGAGATATCTAGGATGATCATCATGCATGACTACCCCCTTCACATGGTTGAACATCCTGGCTTTGTTGCTTTCGTCCACAATCTTCAGCCTCGATTTGATATGGTGAGCTTCAACACTATCCAAGGGGATTGTGTGGCAACTTACCTTAGGGAAAAACAAAGCCTTCAGAAGGTTGTCGAAGGGATGGCTGGGCGTATCTGCCTGACACTGGACTTGTGGACTTCTTTCCAGACTGTGGGCTACGTGTTTCTAACCGGATACTTTATTGATAGTGATTGGAAGATGCATAGGAAGCTTCTCAATGTCGTGATGGAACCATATCCCGATTCAGATGCTGCTTTCAGCCACGCTATTGCTGCTTGCCTTTCTGATTGGAATGTGGAGGGCAAGTTATTTTCTGTCACCATAAACAAACCTCTGAGTGAAGCTGGGATCGATAATCTTAGAGCTTTACTCTCTGTGAAGAACCCCCTTGTGCTCAATGGTCAATTGTTGGTTGAGGATTGCCTTGCTCGTACTTTAAGCAGCATTGCCCAAGACGCATTAGGGGCTGCACAAGATACTGTCAAGAAAGTCAGAGATGCTGTGAAATATGTGAAAACTTCGGAATCCCATGAGGAAAAATTTCTTGAGCTCAAGCAGCAACTTCAAGTCCCTAGCACAAAGAGCCTAGCTCTTGATGACCAAACTCGATGGAACACGACATACGAAATGTTGCTGGCTGCTTCAGAGTTAAAAGAAGTCTTTCCTTGCTTGGATACTTCTGATCCGGACTACAAGCACCCGCCATCCATTGAGGAATGGAAGCAGGTTGAGACACTATGCACATACTTAAAACTCCTCTTCGATACTGCCAATTTCCTAACCTCACCCACTATACCAACTACAAACACATTCTTTCACGAAGCATGGAAGATTCAGTTGGAGCTGGCACGGGCAGCCACAAGTGAGGATCCATTCATCAGCAACCTTACAAAATTAATGCAAGGGAAATTTGATAAATACTGGAAGAGTTCATGCCTAATATTAGCCAGTGCTGTAGTTATGGATCCCCGGTTCAAGATGAAGCTTGTTGAATTTAGTTTCTCCAAAATATACGGGGAAGATGTTGCCACATATGTGAAGCTTGTTGACGAAGGAATTCACGAGCTCTTTCTTGAATATGTGGCACTTCCTCTGCCTCTGACCCCTACTTATGCGGAAGAAGTGAATGGGGGATCTGTCAAGGCAGAGGGCCCCCATGGAGAAAACCTTCCCTCAAGCAATGGACTTGGACTTGCAGACTTTGATGTCTACATTATGGAGACTACCAGCCAGCAATCGAGGTCAGAGTTGGATCAGTATCTGGAGGAGTCTTTGTTGCCTCGGGTCCATGAGTTTGATGTAATAGGTTGGTGGAAACTAAACAGGGTGAAGTACCCAACTCTCTCGAAGATGGCTCGTGATATTTTGTCAATTCCCGTATCAACTGTTGCACTTGATTCGGTATTTGATACCATGACCAAACAGATGGATCCCTACAGATGTTCCTTAAGACCAGAGACAGTGGAGGCCCTCATATGTGCAAAGGATTGGCTGCAGAGTGAATCAATACATACTTCACCTGCACCGCTGAAAATGGAAGTACCAATTTAGGTTTTGGTTTTGGTTTTGTCTCGCCTTGTCTGTCTACGTTGGTAGGTAGCGATTTCTTNGATTGGCTGCAGAGTGAATCAATACATACTTCACCTGCACCGCTGAAAATGGAAGTCCCAATTTAGGTTTTGGTTTTGGTTTTGTCTCGCCTTGTCTGTCTACGTTGGTAGGTAGCGATTTCTTATACCTCTAGCCTGTATTATTTCATGATCTTCCGTTGAAGACTGGAACTTTACTGTACCATAGTTTGGGATCATTTAGAAGCTTGGACGGTATTGAGTTAACTTCTTCATCTTCGGGGGTAGCCATATTGATAAAACACTATTCGAAACCAATACAAAATTAATTGGTTAAGGCTCATTATTTCTCGACATAAACACAAAAATAACACAATCCGATGACAAGAATTTGTCTGTCAGTTGTGTCCGGGTATATTGCAGTAATTTGTCTATTGCAGTAAGCATTGGATTGCCTGGTCTGAAGCAAATTATAGAAAAGGGGTGTTTGTATATGATCAAACAGGTATGGAATTGTTATTNATTAATTGGTTAAGGCTCATTATTTCTCGACATAAACACAAAAATAACACAATCCGTTGACACGAATTTGTCTGTGAGTTGTGTCCGGGTATATTGCAGTAATTTGTCTATTGCAGTAAGCATTGGATTGCCTGGTCTGAAGCAAATTATAGAAAAAGGGTGTTTGTTTATGATCAAACAGGTATGGAATTGTTACTTTGTAAATACATAAATCAATTTTATTTTTATATTTTTGCTAGGGATCTGATTTGAATCTTTTACATTTTTGTATTTTGGTCTTATCTGTTTTGGATTATGTTGGCTTGGGCTTGGGTAGGGACGGGGTCGGGGGTGAAGGCTGGGGATAGGGCAGGGGCGGAGATTAGAAATTTACTCGCGGACGGAAATGAAGAAGAAAATTATACCTGTTAACGGGGGTGGACCGGAGATGGATGAAGTTTTTTTAATCGGGTACGGGGATGAAGATTATACCCCCCGCCCCCGCTTCGATTCATTGATATCGTTATTCCTATACTTATAAGTGTAAGATTTTTTTATTAGAATAATATCAGATGCTACATTATTATATCAAAACATTAGATCAAATTTTAGAATTCCAATAATATTATTCTTTTGTTAAAAAAAAATATTCATGTAAATCTTTTTTTTTTTTGATCAAGATTTAAAGCATACGAACTAAAAACAATTATCAAACCATTGCTTTCTCTCTCTATTTTGAACACAAATAATATATTTTTTAATTGAGATACTAAATTATATGTGAAGAATTTTTTTTTCCATGTTCTTGCATTGCATAAAATATATTAGTGATGCTAAATTTAACAATTACTCTTGCAAAAAAAGAAATTTTAAAACTATATTAAAAAAAATCCTACTTAAGAGTGGTGTGATATAATAAAGATTAGGGTTTTTTGCATACTACACCTTGAAAGATTTTAAGATTCTCATTTTGCACCCTCAAAGATTAATGTTTTCTCATTACACATTCAATGTATCAAAACTATTGTAATGTAGCTCTTCTGTTAACCTATGTTATTTTTTCCATCAAATACCATCTCATTGTAACATTGACAGAATAACTAACGGAAAGTAAATAAAAGGGTCACATTGCAATATTTTTGATACATTGAGGGTGTAATGTGAAAAATTTAATCTTTTAGTGTATAAAATAAAAATCATAAAATCTTTTAAGATACAAAGTGCAATTTACCACAAGATCAATCATACTACCAATTAAAGATAATATCTTAGCAACATATTTCATACAAAAACTTTTATTAGAATTCTTGTTTTAGGCCTTTCATCATCTTAAGTCAACCCTAATCTGTGGTATTATCTCTGAATACTAGCAATCACAACGTTAAAACACTTGTTTTGTCTTTTCAGACATATGTAACTCTTTGTCCGGTCACACAATATAATTTGAAAAAATCTCACCTTTCCCCACTGAAAGATAATAAAATTCTCAAATTGTACCCCAAAAGATTAATTTTTCTAAACTGCACCCTCGAAGAAGTGAAAAGGTTGCAATTTGGTCTAACAACTTATGTCTATTAGGCGTCCGTCTGTTTTGTGATCGCATGCAAAGCACGTGACTATATGCAAGGGTTTTACTGTTAAATTACCTGATGAACTCCCATGTGACTTGAACATGGCAACACCTCGTGCAGAGAGAACGAAAAATTCAGGGTTTTTCATTCGCCTGGTTTGGTAGAGAAAGATCAAAGATCTTAGTATAGGGTTTTTCAATCTCGTAGTTTGGGATAGAAAGATTAAAAAACTTGATCTAGGGATTTTCAATTGTGTGGTCTGGGTTGAGCATCTTGAAGAATAAAAAATGTCGTAGTTATTGAGATAAGCGATCAATGACTTACATCCTTGTTGCGATGCGCCATGCTATGGTAATCTTGTTTCCCGTGTGTTGGTTGTGTATTTTTTGTGTAATTGTGTTTGCATTGGGGGATTCATTGTGGGTTGATTGTGACATTGTGTTGGGACCATTTTTTATGGGAGGTTGTGTGTGCTATTATTTAAATTTTTTTTTTACATGTTTATGAATTGTTTGTTTGTGTCAAAGTCTCGGTAAATTATTGTTTGTGGACCTTTGTGTTTGTTTGTTTTCGGAGTCTTGCTCTTTTTTGTTTATGATTAATGGTTGTTTTGTAACATAGTAGGGTAAATGAAATAATGTGTGGCTTGTCGGCCTTTTGGTGGTATATGCAGATGATCTTTCTAGGTATTTTTCTATCCATTTGCATCATGGAGGTAGATTGGGCATTAAGAGTAACGTGATGCTGACAAGCTTTCTTTGATTTAGTTGGATAGTATGTTAAAGGATGTGGGATTGGGATACTCTAAGCTTACTAGATTCCACATTAGAACTGTTGATGGATGGAAAGTGTTAGAAATGGATCAGCAGACATTGGACATGGTTAATTGGGTTGATATGGACAGAGTCACTGATGTTTATGTTCAGCATAGTAAGCCAAATTTGTGTAGCCAAAGTCAAGTTGAATCAAGCTGTGATACAACATAGAAAGAAACTGGCATTAAGCCAGAACAAGTTAATGTGTAGTGTTCAAAAACATGTGATGCTGAGAATGCAAATGAAGAATCTAGAATTTTGATGAGAATGACTCGTACTCAGCAGGGTCGTCCTCTAAGTATGCAGAGTTNGTGTAGTGTTCAAAAACATGTGATGCTGAGAATGCAAATGAAGAATCTGGAATTTTGATGAGAATGACTCGTACTCAGCAGGGTCGTCCTCTAAGTATGCAGAGTTTTTATGATAGTGAATACGACATGATTGATGATCAATTGTATGATAATTTTGTGGATCATTATGTTGAATTTGTTGGTGTTAACAAAGGGAAAATACTTGAGAAAAAGGAAGGGGTTGATGGTGTTAGAAGCACAATAATGGATGCCAATAATAAGTTTTATGGTGAAGGCTATGACACAAATGAGTTAGTCAGTATTAGTGGATCATCATCAGATGATGAGGAAGGAGGAAATTTCAAGAGACAAATGGTTAAGTATTCACACTTCAATGTTATGACTGACATGGTTGATCCACAACTTAAGTTTAGCCTTTTGTTCAAATATGCATTTGAATTTAGAGCTGCAGTTAGGCAACATGAAATCAAATAGGGCAAGGAAATAAAATTCATTAAGAATGACAAATGTAGAGTAAGGGTTGTTTGTAGGCCTAGTTGTGATTGAGTGATATATGCTTCCAGCAGGGCAGGTGAAAAGACCATACAAGTTAAAACATTTAATGGTGCCCACAATTGCAATAGATCTATCAATGTTAAGCACTCTAATGCCAATTGGATTGTAAATACATATGTAGAAAGGCTGAGATCCAACCTTACATGGCCAATGAAATCATTCAAAAAAAATTGTCCAGAAAAAGCACGTTCTAAACTTGGGCAAAAACAAAGTATACAGGGCCAAACATAAAGGGAGGACAATGTTAGTGGTACTGACAGAGCAATTCAGTTTGTTATGAGATTACTGTGAAGAGTTGAGGAGAACCAACCCAGATACAACTTGTATAATGAAAACCAAAGCTTAAGGAACTGGTTAAGTAAAGTTTAAAAGGTTATACATATGTTTTGGGGGTCATTAAAAAATGGTTGTTGTATGGAAGCAAATCATTAATTGGCTTGGATGGTTTGTCATTTAAAGTGCAATCAGTATGACATTTTATTATCAGCTTTTGGGATTGACCCCAACAGTCAAATGTTTCAAATAGCCTATGCAGTAGAGGAAAAAAAAAAAGAAGTCTTAGAATTGGTTTTTGAAACTTTTAAAGCAGAAGCATTTTTAACACACATGCATGGANACAATCAGTATGACATTTTATTACCAGCTTTTGGGATTGACCCCAACAGTCAAATGTTTCAAATAGCCTATGCAGTAGAGGAAAAAAAAAAGAAGTCTTAGAATTGGTTTTTGAAACTTTTAAAGCAGAAGCATATTTAACACACATGCATGGACTTTCATGTCAGATAAATAAAAGACAAGTTTAAATGCTTTATTTTCAATATGTTTTATAGTTGCATTTACTATTTTTCATAAATTAATTCATATAATTGTTTTTGGGACTCTTAGATGTTGTAGAGACTCTTTTCCCAAATACAAAACATAGATTTTGTGTCAGACATTTATATAACAATTTCAAAGTAGACCACAAGGGCTTAACATTGAAGGATTTGTTATGGAGGGCTGCCATACTAGCAAGAGTTGTTGACTTTCACAATGTAATAGAGGAATTTATGAGTATTGATGAATCTGCATATAGGTGGTTGTGTGAAAGATTAGTTGTGAATTGGTCTAGGTCCCATGTCAGTACATTCTCCAAATGTGATATGTTATTGAATTATATGTGAGAGCTTCAAATGCTTGTATTGTTGAGGCTAGGGTCAAGACTATCTTAACCATGCTTGAAAAAATTAGAGTATGGCGAATGGAAAGAATACATCAACAAAGATACTCCATTAAGAAGTACAAGGGTACTACCTATCCTAGAATTCAAAAGAGAATAGAGGACATCAAAGTTGAATCAGTATCTCTCATACCNTTATTGAATTATATGTGAGAGCTTCAAATGCTTATATTGTTGAGGCTAGGGTCAAGACTATCTTAACCATGCCTGAAAAAATTAGAGTATGGCGAATGGAAAGAATACATCGACAAAGATACTCCATTAAGAAGTACAAGGGTACTACCTGTCCTAGAATTCAAAAGAGAATAGAGGACATCAAAGTTGAATCAGTATCTCTCATACCAACATGGAATGGGGGATGAAAAATTTGAAGTGGTTGCGACGAGTGGAGACCAAAACACCGTCAATATAGAAGAAAGAACTTGTAGCTGTAGAAAATGGGATTTAATAGGAATCCTATATAAACTTGTAGTGTCTGCCCTCAAATTTTTAGGTCAGTTAACAAAAGACTTTGTGGGTGATTGGTGCAAGGTTGAGACCTTCCTTAGGTGTTACAATCAACTAATAAACTCTATCAATGACAAAGAGGTGTGGGTAAAGACAGGTTACACCACTATATTTTTCCCTGATGTGAGCATAAGACCTGGCAGGCCTACAAAGGTTAGAAAGAAGGAGGTTGANGCTCTATCAATGACAAGGAGGTGTGGATAAAGACAGGTTACACCACTCTATTTTCCCCTGATGTGAGCATAAGACCTGGCAGGCCTACAAAGGTTAGAAAGAAGGAGGTTGATGAACCTAGTACTGGTGTCAAGTTGAGGAGGAAGTACAAACCTATAATGTGTGGAATTTGTGGAAATTGTGGTAAAGTTGGCCACAACAAAAGGAGGTNGATGAACCTAGTACTGGTGTCAAGTTGAGGAGGAAGTACAAACCTATAATGTGTGGAATTTGTGGAAATTGTGGTAAAGTTGGCCACAACAAAAGGAGGTGCAAGTTCAAACAATCCAATGTTGTAGACACAATCACAATACAGACTGCAAACAATGTCCCAGTAACTTCTCTGAAATTCTGATCCCTTTGAAATTCACATATTCACTACTAACCTATCTTTTATCTTTTATCATTAGGTGGGCAACATGACAAATGAATCAGCAACAAACAACCCCAAATCTGCAACACCTAATGTAACAAAAGATAGACATAAATTGCCTTTAATACGTAAAATATAATTTTTAGTTGTGTACATGCCCAAAATATGCATGTTCAATGATTGAGCTAATGCTTGTTATTCATTAACATATTAGAGGAGGAACAATGGATCAACTCCACAATCTAATTGTACAACTGTATCAACACCATAAAATATGCCAAATTTGTNGTTAGGAACTCTAGCCATAGGCAACGCCAATCAAGGAAGAGTGTTTGCTTTGACCCAACCAAAGGAAGATGTCTCCAATGCCGTTGTGGAAGGTATTTTTCTTCTCTACAATTCTTGGACCCGCATTTTATTTGATCTTGGTACTACTCATTCATTCATATGCACTACATATGCTCTTAATTTGGGACTAAACTTTCAGAAGCTAGAACATGCCTTGAGTATTGACAAGCCTACGGGAGAATGGTTGGGTACTAGAAGGGTGTGTAGAGGTTGTGTGCTTCGAATTGGGGAGCAAGAACTAATTATAGATTTGGTTGCATTAGACATGAAAGGGTATGACATAATATTTGGGATGAACTTTTTGTCCACCTTTCGTGCGGTAATGGATTATTTTCATAAACAGATTTCATTTCAATTATCGGGAGGGTTAGTTTTCAGTTTCATGAATGATTGAAATTCTTCCCATCCATTTCCTACTATGGGTAGTAGATTCTTGAAAGGTAAGGCGGGGAGCCAGTTGAGTTTCTTAGATAGCTTGATGGGAGATGATCGGGATAGATCCCAACTGGATGTGGTATTGATAGTGTCAGAGTTTTCGGATGTATTCCCAGATGAACTACTAGGGTTACCCCCACAAAGAGACATTGAGTTTACGATTGATCTTTATCTAGGAACCAAACCCATATCCATTGCTCCCTATAGGATGGCACCTTTGGAGTTGAAGGAGCTAAGAAAACAGTTAGACCAACTATTTGCTATTGGGTTTATCCGTTTAAGCACTTCACCTTAGGGAGCCTCGGTCCTCTTTGTGAAGAAGCATGATGAAACACTTCGATTATGCAAGGACTACCGAAGGTTGAATCGGGTGATAGTAAAGAATAAATATCCATTGCCATGAATTGATGATTTATTTGATCAGCTGAGGGATTCTAAGTATTACACCAAGATTGGTCTTTGCACAGGGTACCATCAACTGCGGATCAAGGAGGAGGATATTCCTAAGACAGTTTTTCGTACCCGGTATAGTTATTTCGAATATATGATAATGTCATTTTTGATTGACTAATGCTCCAACAGCCTTCATGGATTTGATGCATAGGGTATTTCAGTCGTACCTAGATCAGTTTGTCATTGTGTTTATTGATGACATATTAATCTATTCACGGCCACAAGAGGAACATGAACACCATCTCTCGATTGTTCTATCGACATTGAGAGAGCACAAATTGTATGCTAAGATGACTAAATGTGAATTCTTGATGAAGGAGGTGAAATTTCTTGGCCATGCGGTGTCTGAACAGGGTGTAGCTGTTGACCACGCAAAGATTGAAGTAGTGATGAAGTGGGAACCACTGAAGAATGTGACCGAAATACGTAGTTTCCTGGGCTTAGCAGGCTACTATTAGAGGTTTGTGGAAAGGTTCTCAAAACTAGCAATGCCAATGACTCGCCTTAAAAAAAAGGGGGAAAGATTCTTGTGGATTAAAGAGTGTGAACTAACCTTTCGTACCTTGAAGGAAAGGTTGACAATAGCTCCTGTCCTCATTATTCCGAGCAGTGGGGAAGGATACGAGGTATACATCGATGCTTCGTTATGAGGTTTGGGATGTGTGCCAATGCAAGGAGGTAAGGTAATTTCTTATGGCTCAAGACAACTCAAGATTCATGAGCTTAAGTTGTGGAGGTGTTACTTGTATGGAGAAAAGTTTCAAGTTTTTTCTGATCATAAGAGCCTCAAGTATATATTCACCCAGAAAGACTTGAATCTTCGACAAAGAAGGTGGATTGAGTATCTAGAAGATTACAATTTCACACTCCACTACCATCTGGGGAAGGCGAATGTAGTAGCAGATGCACTGAGCAGAAAGTATCGGGGTGAAATCAATGTTTTTGCTGTTAATAGGTGGAAAATGATTGATGCCTTGAAGGAATTTGATCTATGGATGGATAGATAGGGGGATCGATCATTCTTATTTAATCTTGTAGCTCAATCAATTCTTCGACAAAGGATTGTAGAGTTGCAACGATTAGACACCGACTTGGGAGCTATCCGGGGTAGAATGGAACGGAATGAGATTTTTGAGAATTGGTCGATACAGGATGATGAGTTACAGTTTGGTGGAAGACTATGTGTACCAAATAATGACCAAGTAAGGGAAGAAGTGTTAGGTGAGTGTCATCGTTCAAAATTCTCCATAC